CAGACGCTGAGGAGAGAAATTGGCGGATTTACAAATGATCCGGACCACGCACCCGTCAAACTTCTCTCGTAACTTGAGAGCAATTGCTCATATCCCAATCCCTCGTTGATTCGGAGTTATGCAATATCAGAGCTAACGCAATTTAAACAAAACACTTGCGTAAGTCGTGGGTCGCTCAGTTCTCAGGATGGTCTCATTTGCAAGAGTGACCTGGATTGTCTCGCGACAGGACGTGTTGAGCAATCATCAGGTTGGTGCAGCACGTAAACCACTTCATGTGTGTCCCATCGAAGAATGAGACCCCGGTGATGGCTTGCAAGGGCTGAGTGGAATTGATGAAACCCGGAATCCATGAGTTGTGTGGATAGAGGCGCAGCCCTGCAATTGCTCACTGGCAGAAGAGGGTGCTCTCGAGTGCCACTCCGCATGGACGGTGTTTTGGCCTACTCTTCCACGCTGCCCAGACGCCTCCTTCGAGGAATATGGAGTAGCCACGCTTTACTCCACCGTACGCGACATCGCTTGCGAACGACTGAATGAGTTCATCCGTCATGATTGATTGATGAATGAATTGCGTCGAGTCGGCAAGAGGAGCTGGGGTTGACGGGGCCGCGTGTTCCTCTCACGCGCCGAGTCGCTGCGGGGGATTCCTTTCTGCCAACCTTGGGGACGGCGCCCCGCCCACGAGGTCACGGCGCCACGCTCACGAGGTCACGGCGCCCCGCCCACGAGGTCACGGCGCCCCGCCCACGAGGTCCCGGCGCCACGCCCAAGAGGTCACGGCGCCCCGCCCACGAGGTCACGGCCAGGTCAACACCACCCCGCGCGAGCACGGCGCTCGCAGCGAGCACTGAGCGCCGTGCTCCGCCCTTCCCGGCCCCCCCCCCCCCCCACATTTCCCTGCCCCCACCACCACTTCCCCAACCTCGTCCACCTCTCGCTCCAACTTTATAGCTCTACTCCTAACCACCTCATTCCCCCCACACCCGCGTCCACCCCTCATCTCAAACTCCCCCCCCCACTTCCGCCATCTCTTCCCACCCCATCCCTAAACTCATCTCCCTACCCCCCCCCAACCTCCCACCCCCCCGTATAGCTCTACCCCTCGTCATCTTCCCACCTCATTTTCTTCTCCCTACCACATCCTCTCATCTCATCACCCCACCTCACTCTCCTGCTCCACCAGCTTCCTCTTCCACCTCTTCATCCTCTCCTACCTAAAGGTTTCTTTCTCTCTCTGTGTGGTAGAGGTCACTCCACCAGCAGTAGAGCGAGCTGGCAATTGCAGGGCCGCGCCTTTATAGCTTCGCACACATCTAGCGTGCACCTATCCGTCTTCTTGATGTCGTGCGGGCTGCTGCTGTCGACGCAGAGCAGCGACTGCGATGTCACATTCAGGTGCTCAAGCCCAGACAACCGCGTCAGGAGCAGCGGGGTGCTGTGTCGTCGCTGTGATGTCTCCTCCTTCGCATTTGTGGATCGGGGCATTGCGTTGCGCGGTCTGTTCTGGGTGACTACAGTCGCACTCTGCCGGAGACTGGTGAATATCCCAACTCCTGCATGGCGTGGTGTTGTCAAATCCGCTTTATGCCGCTAGAGGGCAGCACTGACTCAACAATACCTCGATGAGAACAACGCAGCACGGTACCGAGATTGGGAATATTCCTCTGAAGTCCGTACGCACATTTGGTATTCGCATAATTCCTTGAGCGCAAGGCTAAATAGCAACTTCTGTGATGTGACTCTCCCTGGCGAGGAAGCGTAAATCTTTAATTGTTTGCACTTAAACAAAGCAAAACATCACCGCAGAGTGTTCCTGCAGTGATTCGAGCTGTAATTGTAATTGCTGCGATTTCGTTCGCCCATTTCCCAATCAATCAAGTCGACGACGTCACCACCGTAACGAGGAGAACGAGGGACTGCCTGTTGTTGTGTTGAGTTTGCGCCTCCGATTAGCACGGTTGGCTACGTACGGTGCGAAAGAAGTTCAAGATACATGGAGGAAACCCAGGCTCCCTTCTGGATAGGAGTTATTTGTCTTCGGCGTTGGGACGTGTTCTATGGGGCTTAAATTCGGCCGGGTCTTTCCAGGGTCGTTAGCCTGGGGAAAGTAGTGTGTGTGTGTGCACGCGGCACACCACATCCATCATACCTCTCACGACAGCAGTGGCCAGAAACTTCGTCACGTGCCACCTATTTCAGTCTACCAAGCGACCCAGAGATGTATACTCTCTGCTTCTTTCGGTAAAGTCACGTCGACTTTACCGAAAGAAGCAGACGGTATGGATTCCTGCAGTCACGAAAGCTTCAAATCAAGACCCGGATATTATTCAGTGAGACGAGTCAAGCTCAGTGATTGTAAGGAACAGCTCGTGATGAGATGCTCCCAACAGGAACGATGCGTGGCTCTCACCACCCCCCCCCCCCCAGTCATCCTCATATTCAACCCGGCAACCAAACAACTGCACAGCTGATTTATAAAAACGCCATCTCCGCTGGTATCTAAGTGGTCTCTAAATCCGTTTGTGGGCCCTTCCCTAGGTAGACTCACCCCCAAATGTAGTCCATACAGTCTATACAATCGACCCTTCTTACGTCCAGTCGCTCGCATACGGCACGATTCTCAACTCAACATGCTTCCTATTCAGCCATGGTATGTGCCTGTCTTGTGTGTGTGTGTGCATATATAGGCAAAATGTTCATAGAATAAAATAAATTAGGACTGGGAAGACAAAGGCGGCCGGGATTTGTACCACGCCGCTAATAGGTTCTCGCTGTAAGAACATGCCACAGCATTCTTTAAGGCTAGCCAGAGGGCAGTGTGTGTGTCTGTCTGTGTGTCTGTCTGTGTGTGTCTATGTTTGTATGTATGTGTGTCTGTCTGTGTGTGTCTATGTCTGTGTGTGTCTATGTCTGTGTGTGTCTATGTCTGTGGGTATATCTATGTCTGTGTCTATGTCTGTGTGTGTGTCTATGTTTGTGTGTGTGTGTCCATGTCTGTGTGTCTATGTTTGTGTGTGTGTGTCCATGTCTGTGTGTGTCCATGTCTGTGTGTGTGTCCATGTCTGTGTGTGTGTCCATGTCTGTGTGTGTGTCTATCTGTGTGTGTGTCCATGTCTGTGTGTGTCTATCTCTGTGTGTCTATGTCTGTGTGTGTCTATGTCTGTGTGTGTCTATGTCTGTGTGTGTGTCTATGTGTGTCTTTGTGTGTGTGTCTATGTCTGTGTGTGTCTATGTCTGTGTGTGTGTCTATGTATGTGTGTCTATGTCTGTGGATATCTATGTCTGCGTGTGTATATCTATGTCTGTGTCTATGTCTGTGTGTGTCTATGTCTCTGTCTTTGTGTGTCTAAGTGTGGGGAGCGGTGGCACAGTGATTAGCGCGCTGCGCTACGACTCACCCGGCCACCCGAGTTCGCTTCTCGCTTACGGCCAACACCAGTGACGATTATCTGAACCGGTCATGGGCCTCCCCTAGGTCGACTCAGCCTCAAATGAGTACCTGGTGCAGTGTGCAAACATCGCCACTAGGGAGACAAAGGCGACCGGGCGTGGCGCTGGCCACCCACCCCCTCGTGTGCCGTCCTGGCCTTCATAGCTGCTGCTCGCTAACAGCACTTGCCCCAACAGTCTGTTAAGGCTATAAGGGGGAATCTTTGTCTTTGTACCATAGCTACCAAGTGTGAAGATGGTGCAACTGCAGCCGGTACCCACGTGCCAGAGAGGGCTCAGGCATCGGGCTACGAAGAGTGGGGGGGGGGGCATTTAACAGAGGGGGGGGGATTTAATTATTTTATTCCTTGCACCAGGGTCCATGCAAACGGCGCTGGCGCTGTGAGTGTGGAGGGAGCACGTTGGGTTGGGTTGCCGGTGCTGTTTGCGAGCGCCTATTCAGGGCGGCAGAGCGCACGAGGTGCGTGTGGGAGCCGGGAGGGATAAGGGGGAGGGATGAGGGAGGGGGGGAGGGATGCGAGAGGGAGGATGAGGGATGGAGGGAGGGGGGCAGGGTTTATTTTTGAGGCGGAGCGCGGAGCTGAGTCAGAGAGGCAGCGAGGATCCTCGCGAGGGCGGAGAGACGGAGACGATCGCAGTCGTCTCCAACAACGTCTCCATCTGTGTCCCGTCATCATCCTCTTCGTCATCATCATCGTCTGCGTCATATCAATATGCTACCTTAACATAATCTTAATTTCCAACCTCTTCTCCTGAGTTCTATCCATCTCTTCGTCATCTCCATCATCATCGTCATCATCTGCTGCGTCCCTTTCATCAGCGTCTCGTCGTCATCATCATCAGCATCATTCCCTTCTTGATCAATCTCCTTATCTTAAATCCTTCATACTCATCCTCATCCGCTTGACTTCGTCCTTCGATTCATGCATCCTCATCATTCCCTCCCTCCTCATCCTCACATTCATAATCCGCTTCATTCAGCTGTTATTCCCCATCTTCATTCTCATTCCTCCCCCTTCTCTACAACTTCCTGATCCTCCTCGCTCCTCATCATCATCCTCTTCATTTCCATCATCCGACAGTCGTCTTCATCGTCAACTCTGTCTTCATATGAATCCTTCTAATCTCCCTCCTCTGCCTTGTCATTAGCATCATCATCGTAATTTCGCCCTCCTACAATTTTATCTTTATCCGAGTCACATTCATCATCTTCACAACCCCTCTCCTCTTTCTTCTCCAACCGAATCAGTCTGTTCTTTTTCTTCTTCGCGGAGCAAAGAAGTCGACCTCGCCAAGTCCCGAGTTGAGAAGTCCGCGAACCCTTTTCAGGGACCCGGGAATCCTTTACAGGGACCTCAGGTCCCCTCTGCAGAAACCCAGGTGCCCCCTGTAGGGGCCCAGGTCCCCTCTGTAGGGGCCCAGGTCCCCTCTGTAGGGTCCCAGGTCCCCTCTGTAGGGGCTCAGGTGCCCTCTGTAGGGACCCAGGTGCCCTCTGTAGGGGCCCAGGTGCCCTCTGTAGGGGCCCAGGTCCCCTCTGTAGGGCCCAGGTCTTCTCTGCAGAAACCCAGGTCCCCTCTGTAGGGGCCCAGGACCCCTCTGTAGGGGCCCGTTGCTCATCGGCAAGGGCCCAGGAACTATCTCTAGGAAACCAGAACCCCACTGCAGGGACCCAGGAACTATCTCCAGCGTTCCAGGAGCTATCTGCAAGGACTCAGGAGCTCTCTGCAGGGGCCCAGGACATCTCTGCAGGGACTCAGGACCCCTCTACAGGGGCCCAGGACCCCTCTACAGGGGCCCAGGACCTCTCTACAGGGGCCCAGGACACCTCTACAGGGGCCCAGAACCCCTCTACAGGGGCCCAGGACCTCTCTACAGGGGCCCAGGACACCTCTACAGGGGCCCAGAACCCCTCTACAGGGGCCAGGACCTCCCTACAGAGGCCCAGGATCTCTCTACAGGGGCCCAGTACCCCTATACAGGGACTCAGAACCCCTCTACAGGGGCCCAGGACCTCTCTACAGGGGCCCAGGACACCTCTACAGGGGCCCAGGACACCTCTACAGAGGCCCAGGACCTCTCTACAGGGGCCCAGGTCCCCTCTACAGGGGCCCAGGACCCCTCTACAGGGGCCCAGGACCCCTTTACAGGGACTCAGGAACCCCTCTACAGGGACTCAAGACACCTCTACAGGGACTCAGGACCCCTCTACAAGGACTCATCACCCCTCTACAGGGACTCAAGACACCTCTACAGGGACTCAGAACCCCTCTACAGGGGCCCAGGACCCCTCTACAGGGACTCAAGACACCTCTACAGGGACTCAGGACCCCGAAGACCATGCGTCCCCACGGCGAGACCCACTCCTCCTCGCCCGCGGAACCTCTCATCCCGGCGCGGCTCCACTGAGGGAGACAAAGGGGGCAGCGGAGAGGGGACCTGGTCTGGAGAGGTGTGGGGCATGGGCAGGCGGGGCATGGCCGTGCTGCCCCGGGGCAGCCTCGCCTGCCCTTTCAAGAAGCTGCGGAAGCGCGCACGGGCACTGCTGCTGCTCCTGCTGCTGGGGCTCGCAGCAGCGGGAGCGATAGCCACGTGGGCTGCGGCGTGCGCCGAGGAGACGAGAGGAGCAGGAAGAGGAGGAGAGGAGGAGGAGGAGGAGGGCGCGAGAGGGACAGGTACGATGTTGGGAGAACTGGCGAGCATCGGGACTTGGGGGGCACCATGACAAAGATCCCCCGTATAGCCTGAACAGACTGTTGGGGAAAGTTCTGGTAGCGATTCAAATAGTCGCCGCCACTGTTATTGTTCGTGAGCGGGAATCGAACTCTGGTCGCTGGGTTAGTAGCATCACAGTACGCTAATCGCTGTGCCACCGCTCCCGACATTGGGGGGTGGAGGGGGGAGCACACAGAGACAGGCAACCTGGCACCCACCCACACAACCACACCCACGACAAGGACTAAGATCCCACGTGTAGCCCGAACAGACTGTAGGGGCAAGTGCTTTTAGCAAGCACCTATGAAGGCCGGAACGGTACACGAGGGGGTGGGTGGCCAGCACCACGGCCGACCGCCTTTGTCTCTCCAGTAGCGATGTTCACACACCGCACCAGGTACTCATTTGAGGTTGAGTCGACATTGGGGAGGCCCGGGAACGGTTCAGATAATCGTCACTGGAGTTCGCCGTGAGCGGGGATCGAACTCGGGTCGCCAGGTTCATAGCGCAGCGCGCTAACCACCCCCACACCCCCCACACTCCCACACCCCCCACACTCCCACACCCCCCACACTCCCACACCCCCCACACCCCCACACTCCCACACCCCCCACACTCCCCACACCCCCCACGTGATCACGAACCGCGCGAGTTTGGGAGACGCGCGCGTGTGGAGTAGCGGGCGGCCATCGCTTTGCCACTGCAAGGCGGCCAATTTTTTCCGTAAAAAAGAATCATGGTTAATATTGTTTGTTATTATTATAGCATTTCCTCTTGTTTACCAAGGAGATGGCTCGCTGAATCTCATGACGCGGTTTTTAAAGAGGGTTCCTGACAGCTTTTAGCAGCAGTCTGACGATCATTGATGATGGTGGTAGTGGCGTCGTATTTGTGATGGAGATTTGGTCATTGTGATAATGATAGTATTTGTGATTATGATTGGAATTGATGATGATGATTACTCGGCAGTTGTGATGGTAATAATTATAATAACGTGGTGATGATGAACGAGGTGGCATGATGATGATGATGAATGAGGTGGTATGAATGATGATGACGATGGAGGTGGTATGATGACGATGATGAACAATGCAGTCACCCGTTATTCTTCAATTGACACCACGGTGACGTCACTGGAGCGCTCGCTCCAGTGACGTCACCGTGGTGTGCGCGTGCCTGTTGGCGATGTCACGATCTTCTTCACTTCTCACCGCATCGATCTCCAATCTCGTGGCACGCGGCCCAGGACACGCGCGGCCTTGGGTGTGTAGCTGCACGATGAGAGCCGCTTCCGTCTCGGTTAAATGAAGGAGACCGTGAGCGAACGCGTGTGGACCCAAGATCGCGATGTCATCACCACCACCACTAAAGACAAAGATCCCCCGTATAGACTGTAACAGACTGTTGGGGCAAGTGCTGTTAGCGAGCACCTATGAAGGCCGGCACGGCACACGAGGGGGTGGGCAGCCAACACCACGCCCGGTCGCCTTTGTCTCCGCAGCGGCGATGTTTACACACCGCACCAGGTACTCATTTAAGGCTGAGTCGACCTAGAGGAGACATATGATCGGTTCAGATAATCCTCATTGGCGTTAGCTTTGAGCAGGAATCGAACTCGGTTTGCCGGGCTCGTAGCGCAGCGCGCTGACCACCACCACCGCCACAACCGTCAGGGTGGGATCGAAACCACGACCTCCTGTATACCAGGCGAAGGAATTAACATCTCGCCACCGCGGCGAGATAGAGACCCATGCACTCACACCGAGAGACCCAAGGCTTACACAAAGACCCATGAGGCCTACATAGAGACCCACATACTCATAAAGAGGATACGTAGAATCACACAGAGACGCATATGATCAGTGAGAGACCCATACACTCGTACAGCAGCACCACTGGTCGGGACGCCTGAGGTCAAATGCCAACAGCTGAAGTTTGAGTCATCAGTCCAGCCCTGCTGCCTCAAATGCCCTCTTCTTTACACTCAGACCTGCAAGTAATGGAAGGTGTTCATGAAGTAATGAAAAGGCATTCATTAACCCCCCCTCCCCCCTTTGCACGTGAAGGGCTCACAAGTGACGTTATCACATCTATCCGTCGATTTAAGAAACGAAACGGGAGGATTGATCCACAGCATCTGGCTGTCCGCCTGATGATGCTAGTTGTAATTACCGGCGAAACGTCGTACTCGGATTGTAAACATTTGTGGATTTGCTCTCCAACACACCGGTGTGCTGTACTAGTAACGAATTGGCAAGTTCTGTTTACGTGAAAACCCTCACTAGTTGGCTGTGTCGGGTGGTGGCGGGCTTAACGGCACTTTTATATATTTACACAATCTAACCCCCCCCCCCAACATTTTTTTTATAAAACCCACCTCTATTATTGATTAAAGGAGTCTTTCTCAGGTGTCTTTTTGTTGTTTTTTGCGAACGAGATGGAGACAGTGAACGCAGCTGCAGGGAGACCTGCACCGGACGACTGAATCATCACAGCTGTAGCCGGCAGTCAATGCTGCATGGACGAGCTTCCGTGTCGAAGCGAAGACACCACGCGTCGTGGTGGTCTCTGCGTGGTCACAGCGGACAGCGTGCTGTGTTGCGAACCCTGCTGCTCGAGTTCGGTTCCCGTTCACAGTCAACACCAGAACACGATGATCTGAACGAGTCTTGAGCCTCCTCTAAGTCGGCTCAGCCTCAAATGAGTACCTGGTGCAGCGTGTAAACATCAGCACTGGGGAGACAAAGGCGGCCGGGCGTGGTGTTGGCCACTCTTCTCCTCGTGTGCCGTTCCGGCCTTTATAAGTGCTCGCTAATAGCACTTGCCCCAACAGTTTGTTAAAGCTATACAGGGGATCTTTGTCTTTGTATATCTGCGTGTGTGTGTGCGGTGTGTGTGGTGTGTAAGTACGTGTGTAGTACAAAGGGCCTATTAATAAACGGCGACCTTGGGGCGGCATTAATGCTGAAGACCTTGGGCAGCATTCATTTGCAGCTTCGCACCTCACTCTGCACATCCCACATACACACACACACCGCACTCGTACGTGTGTGTGGGTAGTTCCCATTCACACGTCCTCATCAGCACACACACACACACCGCGCTCGTGTGTGTGGTTCCCACTCGCACGCCCTCATCAGCACGCACACACCACGTCCGTGTGTGTGTGTGGTTCCCACTCGCACGTCCTCATCAGCACACACACACACCGCGCTCGTGTGTGTGTGTGTGTAGTTCCCACTCGCACGCCCTCATCAGCACGCACGGACACACACGGTGCCCCGTGCGTGTGTGTGTGGTTCCCACTCGCACGCCCTCATCAGCACACACACACACACCGCGCTCGTGTGTGTGTAGTTCCCACTCGCACGTCCTCATCAGCACACACACACACCGCGCTCGTGTGTGTGTGTGTGGTTCCCACTCGGACGTCCTCATCAGCACGTACACACACCGTGGCCGTGTGTGTGTGGGTGCGTGCGTCTTTGTGCTCGCTCACAGCACTCATCCCAACAGTTTGTTAAGGATATACGGGGGGGGGGGGTCTTTGTGTGTGTACATACACGCAGCCCTGTATTAATCCACTGCTGGATGATGTCCTCCCCGTGATGTATCGCTTCTCAGGTTGTTGGACAAGGGCTAAATTTCTCACGCGATATTTTCCAGCACGCTGCTGCTGGGTTGAAGGAGGAATTCTCGGCGTAAGGCACTGCCACTAGAGTCCAAGCTAGAGCGATCCATACGAAACCTATATCGTTGTACCCCTGTATTGCTATCGCATGTCACAAATGGGGAAGATGAGCACAGCATTCTGGACTCTTCCGGCAAAAATTGAGCAGAGTGTTTGACCATACTTCACCGCGCTGGTCAATAAACACGTGTGTAATCTCATTCGCATAACAGCCATTATTGATCCACCGCTGGATGCAGGCTTCTCAACCGCCAATTAATTGCATCTCGTTGCCGTGTGCGTTATACATTTGTTTGCAAACGCCGTTCCGTCTCCCGTTTGGTAGGACCCGCGTTTCTTCCCGTGGGAATGCTCCCCCTAATGAGATTCTAACAAGTCGGCACCACAGCGTCCAACACAAACACAACACCTATTATAAACACACACACACACGAACAATGACAGAGATTCCCCGTATAGCCTGTAACAGACTGTTGGGGCAAGTGCTGTTCGCGAGCACCTATGAACGCCTGGAACGGCACACGAGGGGGTGGGTGACCAGCACCACGCCCGGCCGCCTTTCTCTCCCCAGTGGCGATGTTTACACACCGCAGCAGGTACTCATATGAGGCAGAGTCTACCTAGAGGAGGCTCAGGACCGGTTCAGATAATCATCACTGGTGTTGGCTGTGAGCAGGAATCGAACTCTGGTCGCCGGATTCGTAGCGCAGCACGCTAAGCGCTGCACCACCACTCCACACGTACACAAAGACACACTCACACAGAACTCGTGCCGTCTCTGATCTCAACCAAGCACATAGTCCCTGTCTCACGACCAGCCTTCATCACCCCTGAGCTGGGCACATTCCCTGACCGCCCTCTCCCGCTCTCTCCCTCCCCATCCTTCTGTGCACCACCAACCCCATGTCGTTCCCAGGGGTCGGGAGGTCAGAGAGCGTGCGGGGCAGAGTGCGAGACGAGACGAGACCCGGCGGTCCAGTCTCTCACCTCTCCGTGAGTCCTGCCTTGACACCACCACAACCACCACCAACCACGTTGTCTACCACCACCACAACAACAACCGCTGTCAGCCACTAAGCGGTGGTGAAATCACCACGGCGCTTGTGCAAAGCTAGGGGCACTTTGAGGCACACTGTCTCTACACCACCACCACGCCATCTTTACCACCAACCTTCCGATGTTGCTGTTCGCGGCACGAGATCAAGGGGGTTTGGGAAATCTATAGCGCAGAGGAAAGTTACATCTCCTCTCGACCATGACAAAAGTATTCTCACGCCCATGCATTTCTAATGACCGCATGGAACGCGCTGGGTCGGGCTCGGCGCTCCCGTGAGCCAAGCGGCCTGGGAGCCTGGACTCGTGGACGGGCGTCTACCGACTTCGTGAGGAGCAAGCAGTAGGCAGGAACAACAACAACAACACGAACAACAACAAGACAACAATAAAAAAAATCCATTATTCCTCTCCACGCACTGTCCAACCACTCCCCCCCTACCCCCTCGAATATCACCAACCCGCACTGCTGACCAGCGTGGTGAAGTATGGTCAAACAAAAGCCCCGTGATTGACACTGTACACGGGGAGGCATTCATCCATCAGTGGCCTGCCAAAGGGTTCTGTAAATTACGATGAATATTTTATTCCTAGTCGGATGCAAAAGCAAGTATCCTCTAAGGGATCTCTTTGAAAAACAAAATTCATTCACGGCAGGCGGACGAGTGGGAGGGGAGCGTGCGCGTGGATGATGTCGCGGGCGGTGAATTACGCGGGGGGGGGGGGGGGGCGTTGATGCACCGGAGGAGAGTTATTAACGCACGCGTCCACTCATCTCGGCTGGGATTATCGCCAGCACGAAGAGACGGCATCGCCGTTTTTCGCACGGACCCCCGGCGGCGCAGCGCGGGCCACTCTCATTAACCTCTCGTGCCCCCCCCCCCCATTCCCCCACCCCCCCCCCCCGGGGCTGCGTACCCCCGCTTCCTCCATGCGTCTGCGTGGCGCGAGCTTCTGAGTTCATCCGAGCGACTGGCAGTAGTAAGCAGCATTAGCAAGCACGGTAGAAGCAGATAAGCGCGTGGGGGTGTTCGCCCTCCCCCACCACCCCCCTCCCGACAGAAATCGTTTTAGAGAGTCGATACGAGCAAGCGTGACACTTGCGCGAGATGTTCACGGCAGGGGGTGTTTCTTTTCGTACAAAATAAACACACGTTAGCCACCTGTAAATCAAAGATGGCCACCATTGCTGGGTGGCGGCCATATTTTATTTTGGCAGTCATCTTAGATGTTTAGGTTCGGTCGATGTGAGTCTATGGGTCTCTCTGTGAGTCTATGGGTCTCTCTGTGTGAGTCTATGGGTCTCTCTGTGTGAGTCTATGGGTCTCTCTGTGTGAGTCTATGGGTCTCTCTGTGTGAGTCTATGGGTCTCTCTGTGTGAGTCTATGGGTCTCTCTGTGTGAGTCTATGGGTCTCTCTGTGTGAGTCTATGGGTCTCTCTGTGTGAGTCTATGGGCCTCTCTGTGTGAGTCTATGGGTCTCTCTGTGTGAGTCTATGGGTCTCTCTGTGTGAGTCTATGGGTCTCTCTGTGTGAGTCTATGGGTCTCTCTGTGTGAGTCTATGGGTCTCTCTGTGTGAGTCTATGGGTCTCTGTGTGAGTCTATGGGTCTCTCTGTGAGTCTATGGGTCTCTGTGTGAGTCTATAGGTCTCTCTGTGAGTCTATGGGTCTCTCTGTGTGAGTCTATGGGTCTCTCTGTGTGAGTCTATGGGTCTCTTTGTAAGCCTATGGGTCTCATTGTGAGTCTATGGGTCTCTGTGTAAGTCTATGGGTCTCTGTGTGAGTCTATGGGTCTCTCTGTGAGTCTATGGGTCTCATTGTGAGTCTATGGGTCTCTCTGTGAGTATATGGGTCTCTCTGCGAGTCTATGGGTCTCATTGTGAGTCTATGGGTTTCTCTGTGAGTCTATGGGTATCTCTGTGAGTCTATGGGTCTCTCTGTGAGTCTATGGGTCTCATTGTGTGAGTCTATGGGTCTCTCTGTGAGTCTATGGGTCTCTCTGTGAGTCTATGGGTCTCTCTGTGAGTCTATGGGTCTCTCTGTGAGTCTATGGGTCTCATTGTGTGAGTATTTGGGTCTCATTGTGTGAGTATTTGGGTCTTTCTGTGCGAGTCTATAGGTCTCTCTATTCGAGTCTATGGATATGTGTGAGTTTATTGATCTCTCTGTGCGAGCCTATGGGTTTCAGTGAGTCTAGTGGGATTCTCTTAGACCCTAGGAGGTATTACCTGCCGGGGTTGGCGCTTGTGTGGCCGTTAGAGCGAGTATTCCCGCTATCTGCTTCCCAAGCGCGTGTCTGTGCGTCAGCTGTGCTCAACCCAACCAGCCTCGCTTTCAAAGGTGGCGGGCGCAGGCTGCGGACTGGATACCGTGCAGGAGAAATTCAGACGTTTCGAATGTGGGCGCGGCGAACGTCTGGGCCACGTTGCTGCGGCAAAGCTCACGAATACACCACGTGAAACAAATGCCTTACTAACACAAAACACAATACGTTTTTATATAACGTTCACTGAGGGCAGTACCAGGAATATATTTTTCACCCGGCACACCATATCGTTTCTTTAGATCTGCTGTTTGTGTTCAGTTTGTTGTCCTTCCCCTGAACCTCCGATTAGCACGGTTGGCTATGTACGGTGCAAAAGAAGTTAAACATACATATCGAGTATAATACCGCTCGCTATGAATGTGTCTACTACAGTAGCACAACGTGCCACCTACTCCTGGGGAAAGTATCCAATGAGCAACGAATACCGAGGCACGCCGCATCCAGGATACCACTCGCTATGGCCGTGGCTCCCACGAGCCACGGTGCCACCCCTACTCCAGTCGTACAGAGCGGCTAGGACAAGTACCCGGTGAGTCACGGGGGGCCCTGGTTGGGCACAAACACGCGCATGGACTGGAGATCGTCGCTGAACCCGCAGCGGGGGTGGGGGGCGGGGGCGGCTGTGGGTTCCGATCCTGGCCACGCGTCCCCACCCTCCCTTACCAACCTGACCCAGCCCCTCGCTCTCCCCCCGGCTATTGCTGCAGTGACGTTGGCCTACAACAACCGCATTGTGGTGGCCGTCATCGTTCTGTAAGCAGCGGCGTAGTGACGACATTATCAGCTTTGGGCGTGCGGCAAATGGTCAGGTGGGGCCCCAATATTTGATTTGTCTCTCGCACGGTCGCATCTAGGGCTATTATTACATATCGCGGCTCCTTTTGTCTAATCACATCATTACGCTCACGGTCTCTGATATGTAATGGCGTAGAGGCACTCTGTCTTCGAAAACATACCTCATGGTTGTCAAGTGGGCCCCAACTCGTAGCTTTGGCCACACATGGCTTAATTTCTCACCATATAATTTCACTCGACCCCTCTGGCCTCTCAATGCGCCGTGAAGACGGGCCGTTGCCTGAAACGTCGCCTATTGTTTATAATTGTTTTTTTAATGCCACCGGCGTTATTGACTAACGTTTTTTGAGTTCATACAGGGTGCTTCAAAACAATGTTAACATTTACATGAGACTTTCGTTTTCTATGGAAAAAGAACGGATAATAATACACCGTAACGTGAAAACAAATGTAATGTTTATAGCTTCAAAAAGTCAAAGAGTCTCCACTTGTTCGCCATCATTGTCAACACGTGGCCTGGAATCTTCTCCAGGTGATCTCCAGAGCCCGGAGGCAGCACGTTTCTCGTGGTGTTGTTGCAAATTCTCAGGAGTGTTAACAGTTTTTTGAAGCAACCTGTATTTATATTTTTGATTCAGTATTTTCCTGGCTCACTGCCTAAAATTGGAGTCGGCGCCGCATGTGACTCCAGTATTGTGTAGCAGTCACGCCAGTGAGAGGTACGTACAGGACGTGGTGTGCCGGGTTCGCAAGCACTTTCTGGCTTGCTGGTTCCGGGTCAAGCCCGGCTGGATTGAAGCCCTGCCACGTGGGGGATAATAAAACGTTCAGTGACTGGGGTTAGTTAGCGAAGGTTTGGATATATCTTTCAATGCACGACGTCTCTCCCTCTCTCTTGCACGCTCTCATTCCTAAACTGTTTCCATCTATAACATCCCGGCGAAGGCCTTTCCTCCCTTCGCCGCGGCTCCCGGGTTTGTTTCAGGTTCTCCGTGGACTGGAGAAATTAGATTTTCGTGCGATGTTGGAAACCAGAAATAGCTCCATTTCACGTCGATAAGACGACGGGATGATTTATCAAGTTGCCGCTTCAGTGAACCCATGCATAGAGTAATAGGTTAATCATGTATGATAATAACAGGGTTTTTTTTTCTCTCTCTCTCTCCAACTATCACCATCGTCAGCAACAGCAGCGGCTAAGGCTAATCCACTGTTGGATGAATGCCACCCAAGGATGGCAATAGTACAGTCACTGCAAGGCGAGGGAGTTGTTGATGTTAGAGAAGGACCGGCTGTGTGCAGGAAACATTGAGGGTTACACGCGGACACAGAGAGACATATGTTTGCATGTGGAACTTCTTTCGCACCGTACGTAGCCAACCGTGCTAATCGGAGGTACGGGATAGATAGCGAGAGAGAGAGTAGGAGTCGTGGAATTACACTGAGAAACCGGAAGGCGAACACGTGGATTGGACGACGTATAAGCGGGTTGTTGACTATCACATGGAGAGTTAAGGCAAGTGGATGTCGCGAGACGAGATGGATGGCGGCTGATCGAGACGACTGATGTAGTGACAGCCAAGGGAGGGAACGCCGCGCTCACGTGGAGACGGAGTGACGAAATGTGCTCACGTGCAGGAGCCGGGTGGAGTGTGGCATCGCGAGAATGCGAAATGTCAGCGGCTTGGCGAGGGGCTTCATCTGGCGGTGAATTAGATGATACCTGATGCCAACGATGGCAGGGAATGCACCCTTATTAAGAAGTGCAACAAGGAGTCGGCATTCGAGAGGCTGTGACCGCATTCCGATGTTGAAAGCAATTGGGTTGCCCGAATGAAACGTAGCGAGTGTGAAACTCCGTCTGTTTAATTTATTTGGTTTCATTTATTAGGTATAGCCCTGTGGAGCCACGCGGCTCTTAAGTCGGGTGCAACCGCAACAAACAAAATATGAACGAAGAACATCTTAAAGCGACGACGCGCAATAGGAACATCCTGGATAAACCAGCAAATCTTCCCAAAAAAAACCACGCTGTGTGCAAAAATCCCAGTGTGATGCAAGTCAAACAATAACAACCATAATACAATTTAGATTACCCATATGTTTTCGAAATCACCAAAATAACGCTATAAAAACACTGTAACAACAGTAATCATAAGAACTGTGATTTACATTTACCAAGACGACGTGAGTGAATGAATGAATGTGAATCGCCCATTTAAAAAGAAAATCCGCACACAGCGAGTGCGGCCCTGCCGTTCCCGCTTGGGGGCGGGGGGGGTTGAAGTCAGAGGGAGTGCCGAGTGACGCCGTACCACAAACCACAAACCTGCATCGGTAAGAAAAGCCAACGAGGCAAAGATTCCCCGCAGCGACTGCCGATGCCGTTGAGGGCACGTGGCTTAGCGGGCGGCTTTGAATGCCGGCACGGCGCACTCTGAGAGCGGTGGTGCGGCCAGAACCCCGCGACAGGTACTCGCTTAAGGCTGGGGCAGGCCAGAACCCGCGACAGGTACTCGCTTAAGGCTGGGGGAGGCCAGTGGAACGGGGCCCAGGATCGGTTTCGTTTATTCGTTGACCGTGATCGGGAATCGAACTCAGGTCGCCGGGGTCGTAGTTCGCGGTTCGCACACATGAACGCGCATGAACTTCACTCATTGACTTCTCCACCCGTGTTGACTTGATTGTGCTAGGTAAGCGCGTGTTGTTCGTGTGCGCTCACACGCTCGCGTGTCCATCTCCGAATCCTAGCATTCCTGTGCCCCCCTCGTCTTCAGCTTCATTTCTATTTATTAGTTATAGCCTTGTGAGCCATGGGGCTCTTGACTCTGTCTCCCCGTGTCCCCGTGTTCGTATGCCATCGTCTCCCCGTGCCCATGTCTCCTCGTGTCTCCCCGTGCCCGCGTGTACCCCACATCCGTGTTCCCGTGTCCCTGCGTGTTGTCGTGCTCGCGTCTCGGCATCTCCTCCTGTCCCCCCCCCACGTGTCTCCCGTGCCCGCTGAATGCCAAGCGCACGCGTCTCCACATGTCCCCGTGTCCCCCCACATGTCCCCGTGTCCCCCCACATGTCCCCGTGTCCCCCCACATGTCCCCGTGTCCCCCCACATGTCCCCGTGTCCCCCCACAGTCCCCAGACCGGCGGCCGTCCGTACCTCCACCGGGGGCCCACAGCAGGGTGGACCTGGCCGCGATGCTCGCGTCCCGAGGCCCCGCGCCGCGCCGTGAGGAGGCAAACGGCGGAGTCGCCGCGCCCTGGTCCCCTGACGTGAGTCATCTCAAGCGGCCACTGCGTGGGGGGCCATGCCCCCCTTACCCCACCCCCCCTCCACCCCTTAATGAGCAGAAATGCTCCCCGTACTATCTTTCCCCTATTCTGCCTCATATTCTGCGCTCCTATTCAGAGGCAGCTTCTTGGGGTGACTGTGCGCGTACATACATACAGAGACCCCCTCGTGTAGCCTTGATCAGACTGTTTGGGCAAGTGCTGTTAGCGAGCACCTATTACGGCCGGGACGGCACACGAGGGGGTGAGTGACCAGCACCACGTCCAGCTGCCTCTGTCTCGCCAGTGGTGATGTTTACACATGGCGTCAGGTACTCATTTGAGGCCGAGTCAATCTAGGGGAGGCCTAGAACCGGTGTTGGCCGTGAGCGGGAATCGAACTCGGGTTTGCCGTAGCGCAGCGCGCTAATCGCCCAACTACCGATTCCCACACAAAGACACACATACATGAATGTACACCCATGAATTGCAGAGGTTCACGGTTCGAATCCCGTGGCTGCCCTGATTAGTACTTCGGTGTGCGCACTCACCATCACTCGTCCGCGCCATCTGCTTCACAGTGGACGTTAGAGATCCCGTCGCATAAAATCGCAAGAGTTGGTCAATCGAGTTCCAACATCACGGACCGGATTTAAACGATCACGCCGCAAATTACTCACTTGGAATTTACACGCGGCAATCACCCCCTCCCCCGCACCCCCCATTACTGCATCTACTTGGCAGGACCCTCCAGAAAAGAGTCACGATACTCAACGAGGCTTTCGTGGGTGAGCTGCCTACAGTCTAAACTAAACGAACTAAAACTTAAAATTGGATTTTACCAGGCAAGACCCACTAAGCTATGTAGCTCGTTTTCAAAGCGACCTGGGCACGGACGATAGCTCAACTAAGTGGCTTATCATGTGGAAAGTTATTGCGGCCGAATACTCTAAACGTACATTTCTAAATGTGGAGGGGAATAACTGGAGGAACCCGGATAAAAATCCACGCGACCACGGGGAGAGAGACACGCAAACTCCAAGTACACACGCGTCAGGGTCTGGATCGAACCCACGACCTCCTGTGTACCAGGCGAGGCAGTTAACATCTCATAGCCACCGTGGTAGCCCAGTGCCCGCGTCTCTTCTCGAGCTCCGGGTAGCGATGTGCGTGGCACAGCAATCCCCACGCGTGACGCACCGATGAGGTTGAGAGTTGGAACCAATTACGATCGCTATCGCGTGTGGGCAGGCGCATTAGCGCCGCATCTCAACACCAGGAGGCAACCGGCGCTCTGCAGGGCTTTTAACCCCGATCCATTAAAATCGCTCACTAATTTCCACTGCCGGACGTCTGCGAATGTTGGCAACTCACTCGTTCGTCCAGCGGGCGCCACGCTCAGTCGCAGGCCTCGTTCCGCGTGGGTTCCTGCTGCTGCTGCTGCCGCTACATTTGGGGCTTTTATTTTATAGAAGTTTTCAACAAATTATTGACGAGTGCTTATTGTTATGATTATCATTAGACGCGTGGGGAGGAGGTCGAGGTTCGAAGCGGACTGCGACCCTCAAAGGAGGAGCGCCGTCCAGCGTGGTCGCCACCCCCCTCCATCCTTCCTCCCCCCTCCATCCTCCCTCCCTCCCCGTGATCCGTGGATCAAACATATCACTCGAGACGCCGGTCTATGGCAGCCAAGAGCAGTTCATGCGAATGCTGGCGCACAAGGTGTTCCCACGTCGGGCGTCAAAGGTCCTTCGCTGGCTGTGCGTGACGAGTGAATGAATGGAGAGGAGGGAGGAGGAAGAAACCGGAGCACGCCTTGCACGAGGGGGCAACGCTCAATCCCCGTTAAGATGGAAACAGATGGCGATTAGTCCACTTGCTGTACCGCTTTCTCCTAGCGAGCCAGGGGGTAGGGCCACCTCCTCATCGACGCCCACGGGAAGGGAGTTTCTCAACGTCATCTGTGCGGTGATCTACCAGCCCCTCGCTGCTGCCTCCATACAGTGCGGGACTACAGGCAGTAGCCACGTGCAGCAGCAGTAGCCACGTGCAGCAGCAGCCACGTGCAGCAGCAGTAGCCACGTGCAGCAGCAGCCACGTGCAGCAGCAGCCACGTGCAGCAGCAGCCACGTGCAGCAGTAGCCATGTGCAGCAGCAGCAGCCACGTGCAGCAGCAGCCACGTGCAGCAGCAGCCACGTGCAGCAGCAGCCACGTGCAGCAGCAGCAGCCACGTGCAGCAGTAGCCATGTGCAGCAGCAGCCACGTGCAGCAGTAGCGTAGCCGCCACCAGCACCTGATACCGTCTATGTTCATCTCTCTGCGTTCGTATGTATCTGTGTATTTGTCTCTCTTGGTCTGTCAGGGTTTGTTTGGCCATACTTCAACCACGCTGGTGAGTGCGAGCTGGTGAAGGAGTGGGGGGGGAATGAGGGGCTGCAGGACCGGTTCAGATAATCACTCGATGCCACTGCCAATGGTGTCCCTCGCCAGGGATTTAATTACGGTCAACCGGGTTCATCATTTGGCAGTGCTCCAACCATTGCACCACTACTCCATCACGTGATATAAATATATATATATAAATTACATTTAGTTTCATGAGGTTATTTCTTTTAAGCTGATTTTAAAGTAATTTATTTGGGGTTTATCAGCCAGGCTCATACCCCGAGAGAACCGAAACTCAATTGAGGAGCAATATCATCATCATCATCATTATTATCGTATTAAGTGGAGCGGTGGCCCAGCGGTTAGCGCACTGCACTGTGAACCCCCTCCCAAACGAATTCCGATTACCGACCACGGCTAACATCAGATTAGTACCAGGCATTATCATCACCACCACCATCACCACCATCACCACCATCACCACCATCATCACCAACATCGCCAGCAACATCGCCAGCAATATCGCCAGCAAAATCGCCAGCAACATCATCATCACCAACAGCATCACCAACAGCAGCACCAACAACATCACCATCGCGGTTGGCTACGTATGGTGGGGAAGAAGTTCAACTTACATACATATATCATCACCGTCATCACCAACATCATGACTACCAACACCACCAACATCACCAACATCACCAATACCACCAATACCACCAACATCATCAACATCACCATCACCACCATCGCCACCATCACTAGCATCGGGCAGTGACGCGGTCCAGTGGTAGCGCGTTCGCCGCCCGTTGTCGCAAAGGTTTCGCGGTTCGAATCGAGTGGACGCCCTGGTTATTATTATTACGAATGCAATGTCCGTAATAATAGCACGCGTCCCTCTGCTTCACGGCGGGCGTTAGAGATCCCGTGAGGTCATTCGCAAAGAGTCGGCCACTGTGTAACTTGGTGACCCGCAACAACTTACTGGACATCTGTGAAAAAGAGCTTCATGGCTCATCGGATTCCCCTTCCTGGATATATGTAAATATTGATTCTGATTAAGTGGGATCACACGCAGAGCAGCAATCGTTGCACCCTAATGGACGAATCAAGCTCCGTGGGCACCCTTGCAAATGAACTTTAAATCTGAAACGAATCAAGAAAATATAAATATATATTACTAGGTGTAGGCCCCAATGAGCTATATAGCTCTTTTTCAGAAGCGACCTGGCCACAAATGGTATCCTAACAAAGTAGCAATTTGTAACAGCCAAATACTCTAAAACGCGTAATGTCGATTCTAAATGGGGAGGGAAAAGCCGAAGACCCGGGTAAAAAATCCACGCGGCCACGCGGAAAGAGACACGCAAACTCCAAACATACAGCAGGCATCAGGGTCGGGATCGAACCCACGAACCCTCCTGCGTACCTAGAGGGAGTTGACTTCTCGGCACCACGGCGCCCCATCATCAGCATCAAGTCAGGAAGCAATATAGAAATACACAGAGACAGGCAGAGAGCACGGGAAATGGGCATAGTTATGAAAGATTTGTACAAAGTTAGATAGGAACATGAACACAGACAGACAAAGGCACAAAGGGACAGATTAGAAAGACATATTGAGAGATAAACGGACAAACAGAGGTGGTTTCAGAGACAGAGAGAGGAGCAGTGGCCCAGAGAGACAGACTCAGCACTCGGACAGCGAGAGTCACAGACTCAGCACTCGGACAGCGAGAGTCACAGACTCAGCACTCGGACAGCGAGAGTCACAGACTCAGCACTCGCACAGCGAGAGATACACAGACTCAGCACTCGCAAAGCGAGAGATACACAGAATCAGCACTCGCACAGCGAGAGACATAGACTCAGCACTCGGACAGCGAGAGACACAGACTCAGCACTCGCACAGCGAGAGACACACAGACTCAGCACTCGGACAGCGAGAGACACAACTCACCACTCGGACAGCGAGACACACAGACTCAGCACTCGGACAGCGAGAGACACAGACTCAGCACTCGGACAGCGAGAGACACAGACTCAGCACTCGGACAGCGAGACACACAGACTCAGCACTCGGACAGCGAGAGACACAGACTCAGCACTCGGACAGCGAGAGACACAGACTCAGCACTCGGACAGCGAGAGACACAGACTCAGCACTCGGACAGCGAGACACAGACTCAGCACTCGGACAGCGAGAGACACAGACTCAGCACTCGGACAGCGAGACACAGACTCAGCACTCGGACAGCGAGAGACACAGACTCAGCACTCGGACAGCGAGAGACACAGACACAGCACTCGGACAGCGCCGAGGCTGAGTGGTGTCCATTGTGAAGACGCGGCGAGGCAATCGGCCTGGGTAGCACAACCCGCCACCACCACCCCACCCCCGCCACCACCCCCCCATTACCCCCCCTCGCCACCACACCCCCATTATCCCCCCATTACCCCCCCGCCACCACCCCCCATTACCCCCCCCCGCCTCTGGCCGGGGTGGATTGCCCCCCCCCATGCCTCCGCACCACACCTCTACCCCCCCCCCCACTACTTTTCCCGCAAAGACAAAGATTCCCCGTGGGGCAAGTGCCGTTAGCGAGTAGCACCTATG